AAACATCTTTAGCCAATTTTTGCCAAGGGAATAAGGGTTGTTAATGTGATAACATTGGTCCTTTTGTTTTATTTGCAGAATAAATAGCACATGATTCACACTGTCTAACCTTATTTTTAATATCCTGATTTATGGGCCAATAAACTACTCCTCTTGCTAATTTCTTGGTCTTTTCAATACCTTGATGTCCCTCATGTAAGATATTCATAATTTCAGTACGCATTGACTGAGGTATAAGGACTGAATTATTTTTGAAAATGATATCATTAATGACATGGATTTCCTCTTTGATATTCCAGTATGGCATTGTTAATTTATCACAATGTTCCTTGCAATTTGGCCATCCATTTTGATAATAATCTTTTAATTTTTTAGAGACTAAGTCTTGGTTAGTATGACACAAAATTTTCTCAAGTTTTTGTGGAGAAATAGCTAAGTTGGAAATTAATAAATTTATGTGAATATTAATATTTGAATCTAAATCTTCTAAACTAATTAATTCTTGGTTGAATTTATTGTCTTTGACTGGGGCACGAGACAATGTATCGGATATGTACATTTCTGAGCCCTTTTGTATAAGATACAATCAAGTGATAAGCCTGCAAAGTAATCATCATATGTTGTAATCTGGTTGGTACTTCAGCTAAAGGTTTCTTGAATAAGGTAACTAATGGTTGATGGTCTGTTTCAACATAAATGGGTTTTTCATATAAATATTGATGAAATTTCTTGCATCCAAATACTATATTGCATAAAGTTCTTTTTCTATCTGTGCATAATTCATCTGACTTTTATTTAAGGACTAAGCTATAGGGTGTTTATCATGTAAAATAACTGCACCTACTGCAAGCTGTGAAGGATCGACAGACAATAGTATTGGTTTATTTATGTTATAGTGGACTAAGACTGGTGATTGACATAATATTTGTTTTAATTTTCTAAATTGTTGTTCGTGTTGATCTAACCATTTCCATTTAATATGTTTTTGGAGCAATTCTCTCAGAAGAGAAGTTTCTTCTGCAAGGTTTGGTATGTAAGATCCTAAATAATTAATCATACCTAAAAATCTTTGAAGTTCCTTGACATTAGTTGGACTAGACATTTTAGAAATTGCTTCGACTTTAGACTGATCAGGTGATACACCTTCTTTGTTAAAAATATGACCGACATAGCAAATTTAAGACATACCAAATTGACATTTTGACTTATTAAACTTTAGGTTGACTTCGGAAGCACGTTTAAATAAAGCTTCGAGTCTTTCATTATGCTCCTGGAAAGTAGACCCTTGAACGAGTACATCATCGACAAAGATAATTATACCAGGCAAGTCTCCGAACAATTTATTCATGGTCCTATGGAAAATTTCACCAGATGAGTTAATACCATATGGAAGTCTAAGAAATTTGTACCTACCATAAGGAGTGTTGAACGTACAGAGGACACCACTCTCTTCGTCTAAACATATAGTCCAATAACCTGAAGAAGCATCTAGTTTAGAAAATATTGACGCGCCTGCTACTTTAGATCTAAGGTCGTCAAATGTTGGTTATGGATAGTATGGTCGTTTTATGGCCTAATTTAAATTCCTAGGATCAAGACAAATTCTCAATTTACCATTCGGCTTTTCGACTAATACAATTGAGTTTACCCATTTAGTAGGTTTTTCTACTTTTTCTATGACTTTTAGTTCCTCCATGTTTTTAAGTTCCTCTTTGAGACGTTTTTCCAAAGAATATGGTATTCTACGTATCGGAGAGACCTTTGGTGGGACGCTACTATCAATGTCTAGATGTGCCCTGTATGGTAGACAACCAAGACACTCGAATGTTTTAGCATATTTAGAAACAATTTGTTGTACTGACCTTTCTTGGATTCCAAATATTCTTTTGGATATACTGTACTTCCAGGGCCCAAAAGTAAAAACTTCACAGTTTTGTTGGTTGTAATTTCGCATTTTTGTTGTTAAAAAGGTTTCTGTTAACCACATTATTAAAAAAAACGTCACACTTATGCACTGGTAGTTTTTTGGAAAAAATATTGAAAATTTTTACTTTTCTTATCAAGTGGTGATACCTCACACTAGGTTAGGTTAGGTTAGTGTTGTGACCATAACGCGCGAGCCGAGCGAGCAAAGCGAGCGTGCCGCGGCAGCGGCCGGCGAAGCGCCAGAAAAAAAAACTGTTAAAAAGACCTTTTCTACAAAAAAAAAACAAGTATCACCTTTTGGGCCCTGGAAGTACAGTTTTACCATTCTTTTTACAATACCCAGATTTTCGCATGAATTCCAGCCAATTATTGTTTTACAATCGCATTCAACAACAACAAAGTACAATTTTGTGGTTATTCCATTTTCAAATACACAATTTAATACACATGTCCCTAAATTTGGCACTAATTCTCCTGAAAAAGAAAACAGTTTATTATTTGTCCTTGAAATATTAATTTTAGAGTGAGAACAAGTCATAATTTTGTCTAATGTTTTCTTACTTATGACATTTGTATCTGCTCCTGTATCGATTTGACATTTGAGCTTATAATTATTACAGTAAATATTAATTTGCCAATCATCTGTTTTACAATTAGTATTTTGAATAGATTTGATTACAAAACGATCGGTTTCTGACTTTTCATATGATATATTACTCACTTTATGACTGTTCAACTTATCCTTTCTGAAAAAGCAATAGTAAGCGAAATGTCCGGTCTTCTTACAAATGTTGCACACTTTGTCCTGAGCTGGGCATTTATATTTATGTATCTGCCCACATCTTGTAAAATTTCTTGTGCTTGACTTACTCCTAGTCCGTGTCGACTGGTTATGGTAGTTCTGTCTTTGATTTGATCTTGAGCGATCTGATATTTTCGATCTTGACCTTGACTTGTATCTCTGTGGTTGCTCTTTAACTCCCTGCACCATTTCGTTTTTTGTATCCTGTGTCATCAATTTGCTAGAACGTTCCTGAGATAGCTCGAGGCTTTTTGCAATCTTCATAGTGGATTCAACGGTCAGGCCTTCCTCTTGTAGTAATCTTTTTTTAATGTATGTATTTTTCATACCTATGATGAGCATGTCCTTTATCAACGATTGTTGTAAATTCCCAAAGTCACATGTGGTTGCTAAATTACTAATAATTGTTAAATATTCATCTAGGGATTTGTCAGGTTTTTGCATTCTAGTAAAAAAATATATCTTTCCACAGTAATATTAGTGTGAGGGCTGAATTTTTCGTCAATTTTTTTCAACACGTCATCTAATTTGGTTTGCGTTCTGTCAAGATTAAAACTGTTGAAAATTTCGATCCCGTCGTCTCCTATGGCATTAAGAAATATTGCTACCTGTTTTGATTCATTTCATTAGCATCCTTAAATATTTCAAAACGAAGTTTCCATTTTTCCATATCTCGGCTGCATTTTCGCCATTTTGTACGCTTAGCGGTTTCAAGGAGACAATGAATGCTTTGTCCGCCATGACAGAGTTGACTTTGATAGCAGAGATTCGACTTACTTGGCACTTTTTCACGCCTATTTTATTTGAAAATTTTCTGCACTTCTGACACCATCTTTTGGGTTCGTTATGTAGATTCTTGAATGAAAGATTATTGGGGCGTTGTTAATATTTTTATTGCACACTCACATGTTAACAGCTTACAGCAATGGTGGATACCCGGGAAGAGAACCAGCGGCCCTCGACATAGACAAATCAATTTTTTTAACCATAGACTACAACATACATTATTGTCAAATTTAATATTAGGGTTAGAGAATCATGTCAGAATCGATGCCATTGTAGCAAATACTATAGAAACTCTACCGTGTTAATACGCACAGCTCTTGACCTTTCTCCAAATACTATAGAAACTGTACGAGTTCTTTATTATTTGATTGTAGACTTACAAATATGTTATTTTTTGCTTAAAATTAACAGTACTTTTGATATACAAACAATATTGTACTTAACCAGTTTTTAGTACATTTGAACTTCTATTAGATACCTACTGTTTTAAATAAATCCGCTTATCCCTATCCCTGTATTATAATTATATTAAATATTCAATAGTAATTGTATATTAAAAATATGTAAAACTAATCTAAACTTAAATTCAAAATATCATTTGCTCTCTTTTTTATTCTGTACTGAGAAAGACAAGGAAATACTGTTCTCAAGTTTTAGTTTAGGTTTAGAAAATCTAGCCAGAATCGAAACCTTTAAACACAATGGAAAATACAAAAGAATACTTACTATGATATTTAGCCATTGCTAGCCTAGCCACATTTCGAAAGGGTTTTTTTTTTTCAAAACTGGGCACTGGGCTATTTTTATTTTATTTAAGCATAATCCCGATTGTTGTAGCGGCAACACTGGTCTTGTCATTGTCAATCATTGGAAAGTTAGTGTTTATTAGTACTCAAAGAGATGTTAGTTAACTTTAACGGTTGATCAAAGTTATTATTGCTGTCGCTTGTCGCTTTCTTTGCTCTAACAACAGAGTAGGACAAAGCGTGACTTTAGTTGAAATTAATTCCGAATATTTAATGTTTCTGAGTATGAACGTCAATGGATTGTGTAGGCAGAGTAGATTAAGTCAATGGAGATGTGTTCTGTTTAGCAAGGTTTTTTTATAATTACATTGACTTGAAGAATTGTGAAGAATAAAGAATCTCAGAACAATGAACAAAAATCGACAGACCTGCTAAACGGAGCTGTCAGATGGTTAAGCAGATAAGGCAGAAGCAGAGAACGAAAGATAATTTCTTGTGTTTCGTAGGTCGTAGAGATATGAGGTTGTAAATTTTTGAAGTTCACTCACTAACTGATGATCATTAATTGCTAGCCTTAACTCTGTGCTTAAAAAACAACAACAAATATCGACTACAATATTGCAAAATTGTATTGAATAGTATTACTGCTGACACCAAACTGGCACGAACTTTATTCATCATTATTGCGTAGGGTTAGTTACTACAGACTAGATACTAATTAATTTTGAAAACCCTTTAAAATGGCGGAAACTACAGATTCTAAAGATGGTTTGGATAAAAATCTGGAAGATTTTGAAATACAGGAAGTTCTACGAAAAGGTACCGATCTTCGAGAATATGCATTGCAAATTGATAAGGGCATAAAAGAAGCAGAAAAAAACTCCATAGCAGACTATCTAAAAGAAAGTGAAAATATCACTTCCCTTCATAATCAAATAGAAGAATGTGATAATATACTTTCACGGATGGAAAATATGCTTACTGTGTTCCAGGTATGCTATGCAGTCAAATGTACCATACTTATTTTGTCTAAAGTCACTATATATTTAATTTCTAAAGTTCATGAAATTCAGAACAAAAACTAGTATTGTATTCCCTTTTGGCATGATTTGTATGTTCATTGAATCCTACTATATCCTACAAATATTATAAATTGCAAAGTTTGTATATTTGATACTCATACAATAACTACTGAACGGATTTGTATGAAATTTGATACCATATTTGTTTATGACCGGGCCCAAAAATAATGCATACAAAGTCACGGGCGAATGCTCTGGTATTCTAAGATTTTCATGTTGTGCATGTTTCGTAATTTCAGAATGATTTGGGCAGTATTAGTAATGAAATAATAAGTTTGCAAAAGCGTTCTGTCAACATGTCAGTACAGCTATCAAATAGACAAGTCTTAAAAGGTCCTCTTTCCTCCTTTATAGAAGACATGGCAGTATCTGAAACTCTAATATTGTAAGTATATTATTATAATTAAAGCTAGAACTAGATAATATTGTTATGCATACATTAATGATATATAGACAAGTGTATATGTCACGATAAAGTTGTAAATTCAATTACATTGTAATCTTTGATGCGAGATTGTAAACTGTTGAAATATTGTGAACCATAACATACTGCTTACAATTTAAGGCATTATTTTTCTATAGATTATAATTTATCGCAGTGAAAATGTTAAATCAGAATCTATGGCACATTAAATTGTCAGCTCTCAGATGGCTGTCCCTGATTGGTTGCTCTTACTGTGTCAATAGAGTTAGGAATGTAACACAGTGTATGTCAAATCAAATACTTGCACTTCAAGAATTGTGTCATTAAGTATTTAGTAGCTATTCAATAATTTATACATCAATTAAGAAAAAAATTTAGTTAACTCAAAGATAAAATAAAATTGAAAAAGTAATTAAATTTTCAACACAATCTAAATAAAAAATGAACGAAAACATATTAATTTTTTCTCTCAAAATAAAGTAATAACAAACAAAGAAAAGAAATAGATATATACTAGCTGACCCAGCGAACTACGTACTGCCCTAAAAAATAGGGGTTGTCCAGCGGACAAAATTGTGAATCTAAACTATTCTCAGATCCCCTTGAACACATACAAAAAATTTCATCAAAATCGGTCCAGTCGTTTAAGAGAAGTTCAGTGACATACACACTCACAGAAGAATTATATATATAAAGATATATCTAGATAAAATATACTAATATATGTATCAGTATATGTATTTTATAGTATGAAAGTAAATTGCACCATTAAATATGTTCTCTTAAACAAAGAACATTAAGTTTCTTGCAATTTAGTAATTGTTAGTACTATGGACACAGAATGGCCCACTAACCAACCAAGTAAGACTGACCAATCAAGGGCAGCCTTTGGACAGTTGAAAATTTAACGCATTTTAGACTGTGACTTAATCGTTATATTTCAATAGATTATAATCTGCTGTAAAATGATGCGTTAAATTGTAAGCTGTATGTTATGGTTCACAATCTTTCGACATTCTATAATCTCACGAAATAGATTGTAACCTAACAGTATTTAGAACTTTACAGTGACATAACTAAGTAAAATAAATATATAAACAGCCATGGCTCAGGTTCAAATGCTTGTATTCATCACAAAAACATTTCAAACATTTTCTCCTACTGGGATTCAAACCTAGGACCTATATAGAAAACCTGGAGTGTATAAAACTTGGTTGTCATACATTTTGATTTTACAGTGGGATCAACAGTGTTCCTGTGACAGATAAAGAATTTATGGTTCAGCTGGCTATACTAAATCAAAAACTCAACTTTGTAAAAGAACAGGAATTCAAAGAGACAAAAGCTTGCCATGATGTCAAAGATGTTCTTGAGAAATTAAAGATTAAAGCAGTCTCCAAAATAAGGACCTACATACTTGAGCAAATATATAAATTTCGAAAACCTATGGCCAACTATCAAATTCCACAGAATGCAATGTTAAAATACAAATTTTTCTTTGAATTTGTGTTGGCTAATGAAAGAAATGTTGCCCAAGAAATATGTAATGAATACATTGATACATTAAGCAAAGTATACTATTCATATTTTAAATCTTATGCATCAAGACTTGATAAACTTAAATATGAAGAAGCTCCTACAAAGGAAGACTTAATGGGTATTGAAGATGGTTCTAAAGGGGGTTTCTTTCAAAAATCTAATTTAAAGAATAAAAGTACCATCTTTACTATTGGTAATAGAGGGGATGTTTTGGCTCAACAACTTGAAGCACCAATAATAGTACCTCATGTGCAACAAAAAATAAAAGTAAGAATATTTCTATAATTATCATAGCCTATGAAGTCAAAGTTTAGATCATTGTATTCAATGAGTATCTTGTATATAGTTTAAATAAATGAGTTTTTCAAATTCTTTTCTTTTTTTCCAGTATTCCTATGAAGCTTTATTTCGAAGTCTGCAATATGCTCTCGTAGACAATGGCTGCAGAGAATATTTATTTACGACAGAGTTTTTCCATGTAAAAGGAAGCCATGCTCAAGAATTGTTTGATAGAATTCTTGGAAAGACTTTGTCGTTACTAGTGGTAAGTTTAGTAATATTTTTTTGTAAACAAAATGTTTTCATAGTTTTCTGTTTAATATTTATAGATGTAGAATATGTACTACATAGCAAATAAAACTAATACAAGTATTGTACTCTTTCAGAAAAGTGTAGAGAATTATGTACTAGAATGTTATGATTGTTTAGCATTATTTTTATGCATTCAACTTATCAATCGCTATAGATGGATGTGTCATAAACGAGCTGTGGGAGCATTAGACAGGTATAACAATGTTTTTTATTTTCTGAATACACAAAAGAAATACAATTCTATAAGAAACAACCTATTAAATACATGATTTTGTTTTCAGCTATTGGGATTCGTTAAATACAACCTTGTGGCCAAGATTAGAATATGTCCTAAAATTAAATATACAAAGTGTGAGAGAATGTAATCCAGCAAAGCTGTCCAACAAAGAATTAGGACCCCATTATGTAAATATTAGATGCTTTATTAGTTACGATGTGGGGGTCTAAAATAGGGCGATTGCATGTTTATTGTTTGTAATATTTTTCATTTAATTCAAATATAAATTCAACATGAAATGGAATGAAATGTAATTTGGCAGATTTTTGTCTATTCAATGAAAACGAGAAACTCCATTAAAGAAAACATACATGTTTCATGCTACTGTCGCTATTTTTGATCCCGCGTAGCGGGCACAATTTCTGGCCAGCAAGGCTTGAGGCCTAACCACGAACTTTGACATCGTATCGTTATCGTCAAATTTACAGACGCTGCTTAGTTTTCATAGAAACTGAATGATATTAATACCCCTAGATACACCCCGTGCGCTCAAAATGTGCCCCAATCAAGAACTGTTTGAACACAACTCAAGCACTTCTTGGTTCACAGTGACGCGCGGACCGTTAAGAGTCTACATGCAGCAGATCGCGGGGGAAAAAATGCGAAAACAATACTTTAGCACGTAGTGACGTTTTTTTAGACAGGTATTAAACACATTTGAAGCCAATTTTGTTCTTACTATAAACTGATTTAATAGAAATTAATTGTGATATTCAAATGCATAGTCGGTTATATAGCCGTCTCTTTTCAAATTTCAAATATAAGCAAGGCATTATTCTTTGGTTCATAAATTTCAAGTAATTAAGAAAACATATTACAGTCTATTATCAGAAATCACTTAAAACCTTAGCCTTAGACCTTTTAAAAAAAATAGTGACTTAACAAAGCCTTCTTAAAATTTATTAAAATGTGTATTTCTGAGCTTTTAATCAAGTGTTTCCTGGGATCCTTGAACGATATTCTGAGTTATTTTACTAAATATTTTGTTTAAATTGCTAGTCAGATTTAATGTCGCAACAAGAAATAAAGAATAATATAAAAAAAAACATATCCATACAAACAATAATCAGCATATTTTGATAGATTTATTTGATAAAAATAAGACCAATCATAAAAGTAGTCTTTATTTACCACATTATACTTCATAAAAGTTATAAACAGTATTGCGTTATCAATTCGCATATATATTCTAAAAATTTCAATTTTAAGTCATAGTTAACTTTTTGATTAGTAATATTGTGATCCGTATACATTACATGAAACAAAACTTCAAATAATAACGTATTAAAATTCGATAAAAATTACGACAAATTAATAACGCGCTATGAAAACGCTCGTCCTTCATAAAGCACCGCCACTACTGACGCTATGAGCTCGAGCGAACCGCTCGTGCATAGTTTGCCGAGTTGTAGAACTGTCGTCTATGCGTGTGTAAAGTATTTTTGATGTTAATATATTTTAAAAGAAGTTTCTGCACTACAGTACCCTTAGTAGGAAGTTTTCGAGAGCTCGCACTCGTACTCTTATTTTAATGTTTTCGTTTCAATACAAATAAACGGTGTTTAAATGCTATCATTAAATCATTTGCGTCTTCTTAAATTTTAAGTATATTTGTTTACTTTGCTCCAAAATGGACATAGAAACATAATTTACAATTACGAAAACTATGATAGTTATCGTGAGCTCAAACTCGTACTAAGGGTACTGGCCTTATTTCAGCATAGGCCTTATTTGTATCAGGTACTTTAGTACGTCAAAAAAGTGTTCGTGCTCGCAATCCTCATTAGGGGTGGGCGTTTTTAGAATAACGATGCGCGATAACGATGCTAGGTTAGGATGCGCGCATCCGATACGACTGGTTGCCGTTATTGGATGCCGATGCCATCTAGTTTTTGTCAACGTTACTATAGCAACAGTACCACAAACTTATCTGTGCCGATGAAGATGTCGCTAGCGGTGAGCAAATATGTCATAAAAATGTCACAACGTTATGGATAAATTCAGTGGCGGCGCTAGACCACATGTGGACGTCGGCGATATCAAGTTCGCGAGGCCTATTTTACTTCGCAGTTAAAAACCGTTAAATTTGTTGTGAGCCAAATTATAAAATAACGTATGAGTAAACGAGTTTTATTGTTGATAATCAAATGTTGACAAAAAATAATTACAAACATAGAAATTTAATTACAAAAATAGTGTTGCCAGACAGACGATTCTGAATACCCGTAAAGTACTACTCGCTTCCATCACGCACGTGTTCGAAAATAATAAAAGTCATTATCATCTGCTTAGCTTTTTCCCCGAATTGTTCGGGGTCGGCTACCTAAGCCAGGCCAGGAGAAACGAAAATAAATAGGTAACTTGTAAAAATTTTTTGCGAGGCCCCCTCAGGCGCGAGGCCGTCGGCGGTGGCCGACATCGCCGACGCCTAGCGCCGCCACTGGATAAATTGTAGTTCAAATTTTTGCCACCGGCACTGAAGTTTGTGATACTACGATACTGACATTCACTTGGCATCGATGCGATGCCGGCTTGGGTGCGCGCATCCGATGCGATTTATCTGATACCGATGCGCATCGATTTCACAAATTTCTAAAAACGCCTATCTTTAATCCTCATAGAAATATTGACGAGTAACGTAACGTTAGCCTCTCAATACGACGCGTGCGTGCTGCTTAGTTTTCATAGAAATTGACAATGGCGATACGAATACTTTCTCGCTTGTTGTTCATGCTAGCCCCTCTCGAAAAATGAATTAAGTGTTCCCAGTCTAATGTACGATTCTCACTTGCCGGTGCAGTGCGCCTCGGAGCGCGTCTATTGACAGTATGATAAATAATGTACTAATGTTGGCATCTGTATTTAATATGAATATTGTCAGCGATTTTACTATTCTGAAAGAACGAATACCTAATTAATAACTTTTCTATAAAATCATTAAATAGAAATTATTATTTTGCACCATGGTCACGTGGCCGAAAACGCCTGGGATTGGCCAAGCCTATAATGACGTCACACGCTAGTATACTTCCGGCCAAAGTGACCATTACATTGAATCGTTTGACGTTAAAACTACAGTGGTGTGACGTCACATACTATTGAGACGCCATAATGACCAGAGAAGTGTTATCGGCAACTTGAATATTTAATTTAGTTATTTTTACTGTTTTTATGGATTTCACAAACATTAGTAAATAACGTGAGATCGTTTTCTAAAACTTGTCAAATACCCTATTTGCTGAAGGAAATTTAAACATCCACAAAGTAGTTAAGTTCCTTATTTGCATGCAGCGCATGAGTAGTCGGCATCATAGCTGTTTGAATTGCATGCAATTAGGAAAGTTCCTAAGTAAGTTAAGTAACTACTATGTGGATGTTTCAACTTCCTTCAGTAAATTTTAAAATACGACAAGTGAGAATCGTAGGTTTATACAAAACTGTAAACTAAAACTGGAAAGATAAGAGAGAGACGAAGCATGATCGTGTGCCAAAAGTTCATATTCTGTGAAATGTCGTGTCGATTTCATAACAGTCACGCTCACAATATTGGAATCCTAAGCAGATTTATTCGTAGATGACTGACAGAAATACAACTTGCTAAAATAACGTAGGTCTGAAAAGTCTCAGTTCTCACTCCACTAAACACTAGCCATCAAAACAGTTGTAGTGTATTACACTATTGGTACATTTATGCGCGAGCCATGAGACTGTCAAGACGTTATTAGGACTACCAGACTATTTATTTAGAATATAAAATATATAGTTGTCCCATGAAGACATTACTCAAATTTTTGCAGCTTTGCCATATAAGAAAAAAAATCAAATTATGCGTCATTTTTTTTTTATGTTAATTCAATCATCTCACATTTTTTAGATTACTCGTCGGTATGCTGAATTTTCTGCTGCAATGTTAAGTCTGAGCGAACAATTCCCTTCCGAAGAACTTAGCAATCTTCTTCTAGTCCTTCAAGATGAAGTTCATTGTTTTTTACTAAAAATGGCAGCGGAGTTCCCCCAAAGAATCCAGCAACTGATATTTCTTATTAACAATTATGACATGGTTCTAAGTATACTGATGGAACGAACGAGAGATAACACTAAAGAAGCAGAAAGTTTCAGAGAACAGTTACAAGCTAGAAGCACTGAATACGTTGAGGAAATACTAAGTCCACATTTTGGTGGAATGATGCAGTTTGTTAAGGAGGGAGAACAATTACTTGAGGGTGATAACAAAAGCCAACTGGCAAGTTTGGAAAGGAGATCTTTACCTTTAGTTGCATCGTTCAGTGCAGGGTGGAAACAGAGTCTTGAAGAAATCCACAGAGAAGTACTTGTCTCATTCCCTAACTTAGTTACTGGATCTGGACTGCTGCAAATGGCATTGACAAACTTCGTGCAGTATTATCATAAATTTGTGAAACTGCTGACTCCCAATGCTAGGACGCAGCTAGTTAATATACACGTAATTATGGTAGAAATAAAAAAATATAAAACTAATTTTTAAACATTAATATGATATGAGTATAGATATAGCATAATGATGATTATAAGAAAAAAATATTTGCTTCATTTCATAATATATCCTGTGTGTTTTTTATGTACCAATTGAAAAATAAATGTGCACTATTATGGACCAATATCTTATATATATAAATCAATTGATGTTCGTTAGTCTCGCTAAAACTCGAGAACGGCTGAACGGATTTATCTTATCTTAGTCTTCAAATGTTCGTGGAGGTTTAAAAGGTGAGAAAAATTCGAATTCTACACTACAGCTCTACACCGAAGCGAAGCGAGGACGGGCCACTAGTTTAAAATAATAATAATATCTGGCAAACAAAGTATGAATCTTATAGTAGGGGAGGCAAAGAGCAACACGGCAGCCAGGTGGGGACAAGGTATACACAGCTTTCCCCTCTGTCGAATTGGGCATACAAACGATAGAATGTGTGAATTTGGCTGTGTATTGTGGCATTGTCTGTGTGCGAGTGTCGTAATTATAGTTTTGTTTTTACGCATGAACGTTAAATTGAATTTGAGTGCGTATTCCCCTCTGCATAAAATAACAATGTTTTAATAGTATTATGTCGCTATGACTATTCACTTACAAGTTGCTCTGTGAGGGAAGCCCATACGGAGATTTTGGGATTTACTCGAGTTTATTTACAAAGTTATGGTGGGAGTACGACACAAGGTGTAAGGTTTCCATCCTTATGATAATACGCCGCGCTGGAGTATATCCCAAAATCCTCGCTTGGGCTCCCCCTACTATTTTGTTGACCTGCGTGATATTGGCAAAATTGTGGTAGATGCACTAGTCATTAAGAAAATACAATAAACCTATGTAGGAGCTGTTATGGAACGACAAAATTTTAAAATTAAACTTTTTAATTGTTGCTTTGTTTCTTATTTACACTTTTTAGGGTTTGTCATGTCTGTCTGTCCGTCCATATGTGACAGCCACTTTTTCCCGAAACTATACTGTTGTAACTTGGTAAGTAGATATATTCTGTGAACCGCATTAAGATTTTTACACAAAAATAGAAAAGAAAACAATAATTATTGGGGGTCACCATACTTACTGAAACTCTGAAATTTTTATCAAACCCATACGTGTGGTATCTATGGACAGGTCTTCAAAAATGATATTGAGGTTTCTAATATATTTTTTTTCTAGACTGAATAGTTTGCGCGAGAGACACTTCCAAAGTGGTAAAATGTGTCCCCCCCCCCCCCCCCTGTAACTTCTAAAATAAGAGAATGGTAAAACTAAAAAAAATATACGATGTACATTACTATGCAAACTGCCACCGGAAATTGGTTTGAACGAGATGTAGTAATAAATAAATAACACTATTATTAAAACATCGATCAAAGTTACAACGAACTAAACAACTTTTATATTATGTTAGTTGCTGCTACGGAACACTTCATGGGCGAGGCCGACTCGCACTTGGCGCCTTTTTTGATGTGAAACATCTTTCCTCTCGCTTTCCTGCAATTTGTGGGAGTGATTTCGTGAAATGGGACGGAAGTGTTTAACAGGAAGTCGCGAAAGCGCGCGCCATTTGATTTGATTTTAGAACATAATGTTCAAATGGCTTATTCCTTTTGTAGTAGGTTTTATTTCTTTTCTACTCTTTCTTTTTAAGGTGAGGTTTCAAATGTTACACATCATACGAGACTACTGTAAGGCTCGCTCGTTTTTTTTTTATATATTTGCTTTTTATCGCGGATCTCATGCATGCAACGGGTGTAAGTATGCGCAAAAATGTGCTTCTTTATTTCACCAATATTCCAATTGTTTTCCCGGTACCCATAAACACACAAATCCGGCTATTATTATATAACTTTGTTTATTATAATGGTAATGAATATGTCGGGCAGTAGAGGCGTATAGAAAGTATGAACGGAAAAAACAAACTACTTACGAGCTTTTCATAGCGCGTTATTAATTTGTTGTAATCTTTAACGAATTTTAATACGTTATTCTTTGAAGTTTTGTTTCATGTAATGTATAGGGATCACAATATAACTAATCAAAAAGTTGACTATGACTTATGCAATTTAAATACTAATAACTTTTATGAAGTTTAAGGTAAGTATTAAATAAAGCCTACTTTTATAAAAGGCCTTATTTTTATCAAATACATAAGTCTATCAAAATATATTCATTTTAAACAAAATATTTAGTAAAATAACTCAGAACATAGTTCAAGGATCCCATGGAAACACTTGATTAGAGGCTCAGAAATACATATTTTAATATAATTTATACTCTAACAACAATATTCCTATAATTTAAGTACATAGGCTTTGTTAAGTCGCTATGTTTTTAAAAGGTCTAAGGCTAAGGTTCCAGAATTAGCTCTTAAGTGATTTCTGATAATAGATTGTAATATGTTTTCTTTATTACTTAAAATTCATGAACCAAGGAATAATGCCTTGTTTTTATTTATCACCTTCGAATAATTTATCATGATATGAGTGTTTGAAATTAGGTAGTCCATATTTGTATCACGTAATATACAGTATTGCCGTGGCGTCTATCGTCAACTTACGAAATCGTATCGAGAACTCGCTATGTTCAAGTTACTGAAAAAACAATAATTAAAACCCTAGATACAAACCGAAACCTGTCCAAATGGTACATGGAACGATTTACAGAGGATAACATGATCGCGTAGTCAAAAACAACATAAGAAATTATTTGAATATTCAAAGTCACTAATAATGCATATCATATAAGGTCTTAATTTAAACACATGCGTCAAACAGTCATGGCAGTTCAAAATGCAAGCTCGTTAAATTTTACGACTTATTGTTATAGATAGGCGGAAGAATATAAGTAGACTTTATAATTCTGTGTTTAAAATTAAGTAAGCCTTATTTGTATCACTTATCTTACTTAATGGACTTGTCACACACCCACACGCCAAAACGAAAAGACAATGTCAAAATAATTTCGAAATAGAGACGCTAGCTCATCTCTTTGAAGCATGTGGCCAAGATTTGTATTGTAATGTGAGCTTCATCTCCACCTAGGGTTACCAACTTTTTTTCCATCAAATATAGTATTTTCGAAGAGGGAGGAGGTAAAGAATACTTTAATATACTTAAATATTATTTGGTAAGAGATTTTCTACTGAAAGTTAAGGCCACTTCTTAGACCTTCAGATATTCCTCTCGTTACAACTTGCACAAGTGTCAGGGCCGAGAGGACTGAGGAACCTTAAATAATTGCTCTGTTCCATTTCTATTTACAAATTATTTTAAGACTTCCACTAATAATTATGTAGAAAAAGTAAATAAAGTGTTACTTTTTCTGCATACATTTTTAGTAGAAGTCTTGTTTGAATCGGTAATATTGACTAAAATAATAATCTTTCTGAGGAACCACAGTTTAGCCGCTATATCTTTTTTTCTTTGGTGGATTGTGGTTTGTTTTTTAGTAAATATCTTTAAAATAAATCTACCAAATATCTGCAATCACATTACCTCAATTTAGTAGATATTTTCCGAGATCTGCCTGATGGCCTGTGAGAACTGAGGGCCACCACCACAATTAAAAGGCCTGTAGTTTAAAAAAACGAGCGAGCCTTACAGTAGTCGCGTATGTGTAACATTTGAAACCTCACCTTATATTAGTAAAAAAAGGAATAAGCCATTTGAACATTATGTTCTAAAATTAAATCAAATAGCGGGCGCTTCCCAAACTTCCTGTAACACACTTCCGTCCCACTTCACGTAATCACTCCCACAAATTGCACAAAAGCGAGAGGAAAGATGTTACACATCAAAAAATCAGACCTGCTAAATCCTGATAACTTTATTTTAAGAAATTCGATTTAGTCCTGAGGGACTATGAACTGAGATTCACACGCACATAAAGTGCTCGCCACGTCGCTGCCGGCCGTTACAATCCCGGTATGAGTTGGCCCTATATGTTGGCCTAAACGGCTTGGCTGATTTTGACGAATGAGGTAGGTATCGAAAGAATTCTCACATCACCCCGAATGATGCTAGCTATTAATAAAAAAACAAGATGACCGAGGTAGACGCCGATTTCAAGTGTTTTTTTTTTTCAGAGGTAAAATGGGTTATATGGAAAACCAATCCCCGGCGCCGGCTCATATAAAATGCTGCCTGAAATAAAGTACTATATGTCTATAGTGACTGAAAAAGGATATAATTATAATTTTTATTTTTTAAGCATGTAACTGCTCGATGTTTAAATCTAAAGAAAATATTACTAGAAGTTCCATACGGAACAGTCCAGACGAGTCCCTGTCTGCTGCCTGGGCCGCGTGTTTTTTTTAGTTATATTTTCTTAAGGATATAATTCATAGCCGGCAAAAACTTATACTTTCCTGCATCTGATGCACATGTGTATTTGTCTCTTAACTACATTGGATAAATCTGTTCAAATATTAAACTTGTTTTAGAACTTTTAAACAAAATAAAGTACTTTTAAGGTTTTATTATTTATTGACACTTAAATCAAATAATTACTCCGCTTCAAAAACGAAGCAGTTTTTAACATCACAGTTTACTTGGGGCACTATAAAGCAAAAAAAAAGTTTCATCGCTATTAAAACTGGCTCCTGCTGAAAGTGCATCATAGTGGTGACTATTTCCACTGGTAAGTATACATTTTAAAACTGTACTTAATAAGGTATCTAACCACGAAATTACAATGTAAGCTTATAGCTATAAAAGTCAAATGTATAATCACACTGAAAACACCACAACCACTTCACTAAACGCTGCCAATGGCAAAGTACTTCTCGTTAATCATACTAGTGACTGGCTTTCAAGTTACACTCATTTTTGACAGCGTGTTCTTCCACATTTTCCGAGTTTTCTCACACACGAAGTCACGTATGACTTCTTCGAATTCAGTCGATATTCTCTGAGGTTTCCAAGTGAGCAACGTTCGCACAATTCGGTTATAATTATGTCGACTCATGTATATTAAGGTCATGAAAATAGCTTCTTCCATTTCCAGTGAGGCTGCAAACACAAATATATTTTCTAGTATCCACTAAAATTTATAAGACAAGTGCTAAATATAATATTATTTTCTATTTAAATAAAGACTTAATTTAAATAAATAAAGGGAAAATGTATAGATGCATTCAGATATCCTGAATACATTTATTGAAAAGACTGCAGTATAAAACGCGGGTCGGTCTGTGTTGTGTGGGCAACGGATCAAACTATAGATATAATCAGTGCACTACGATGCGTACTTGAAAGCGGTCGTGACTGTACAGTGAGAATTTAATAATTCACGCTCCACACGGCTACAGCCCTTGTGAGTCAGTAGCAATGAGTTCCGATCAACTCATAGCTAAGGGCCCGTTCAAGTATTACGTAAGCACTATAGGGGGGTCTTTGCTTTGCTTATTTTTGATGACATAGGGGGGTGGGGGGTCGAGATAGTGATTACGTCAGCATCATGGATTCGGGTGCCATGGACTGAAGACAGTTAATTGGAATTATTGTTTTTTATTATTTTTTATTAAGAGGTTTGCTTACTTTCGCTGACAAGGGGGAGGAGAGGGTCAATAATTGTAATAAATCTGCTTAATACTTGAACGGCCCCTAACGAGTTGTTGGCGTTTATTCATAAAGCCATTGACACCATGGACGAGGTCAGCATCCTGCATCCAGCAGATCTGCAAGCCCAACTTTAAGCAGGATAAGGTTTGCAGTTATAAGGCGCTGTCATGGATGAGGACGCCGTCTCGACTGAGGTATGGAACCGAGATAAGTGTGCAGGATGTTATCACCCTGCCAAAGGACACCTATACGGACGAAAAAAAAATTAAAAAAAAATCATCTTCAACCTATTAATGTCCCTACTGCTGGAGCGCAGGCCTTCCTTATGGATGGAATACGAAGATTGGGCCATGACCCACCACCACGCGGACCCAGTGCTAATTGGGTGCTAACGACTGCAGACGCAGCCGGAACCAACGGCTTAACGTGCCTTCCGAAGCAAGGAGGAGCTCGGGATAATAAAAAAAGCAGTTTTGGCCACCCATCCAATGACCGACCACTGCGAAAGTTGCTTAACTTCAACGATCGCAGCTGAACGCGCTAACTACTTAAGCCATGGAGCTCCTCCTGCTGCGTTTACAAGTACGTTCTGAAACGACACAGTTTTCCAAACTGTATGGCTCGTTTTCCACAGGCCAAACCGTACGCGTAAATCCCGCTACTGTATAGCTTGGTGAGAACTTGGTCTATGTAAATACATATATGATGCGCGATTTTGTCATGATATAATAATGCTATATAATATAGTATAGCGTGGTCTGAACGCACTTGTTTAGGATATTTATTTAAACAAAATTCATCAGTAAATACTCACAATTTAGGTTCAACATGTCTAACAGTTTATTCATTACAATTTCAATGTGTACTCTCATTTCAGCTGGATATGGTTTTATTAATGGTCCCAATATAGACACACAGAATACTTTCACCCTTTCCGGGTGGATATCAGATTCAATTATTGGCAATAGCAGACTTTTTATTATATTTTTCTGGCACCACTTTGGGCCATGGCGTTTAGCAATAACAATCAAAGATATCCTCAGCAACTTCATCTCCACAGGAATCGCTAAACATAAAATAAATAAGACAAATTAATAATAATAAATTTTATATACCTATAATAAATATGTTCAACTTATGTACTTATATCACATCACATACCTCTGATATTTGTAATAGCACTCTTGAACATTTCTATTATTTTGGGTTCGTTCCATTCAGTTATTTCGTAGAAATATTTATGAGTTAAAAGATATCTGATGTCTTGAACTCTATTGAATTTATCCTCACATTTATAAAAATGTAAAAGATACACCATACACGTTACTAGCGTACTTTTTGCTGAAAGAAAATATCAAAATATTAATTGCATTTTAAGAGCATTACTTCTTTTTAATCATTGTTAAAATTCTGTCTTACAACCTTAAATCAATCTTGTCAATAGGCTATGCCAAATGAATGTATTACACACCATTTCCCAAAGTTATAATTGGGGTCAACCCAACTATTAAACTTAAGAGCCCTTTCCCCTTTTTTTGCAAAAGATCTTAATTTTTCAGCGAATCATTTACCCCCTTAGAAAAGATTTTGACTATTTCCAAAAGAAGTAAACAGTAGATTTATTCTTCCTATTGTATGTTAATGTAGAATATTTGCAAATACTATTTTCCTTTTTTTGTACTGATCGTTCTACCGCAGCTAGTCGCTTTCCGCAGCAGCCGGAAAAAACGATAATATGCACAACTTCAAACGTCTGTATCTCTAAATAATGTTCAATAAATTAGATCAAATTAATTACTACGATATATGTTTTTGTTGTAACATAATGTATTAGAATTTTGATTTTCCATCAAATTAATTATAAAAAAAACATCTAACCTCCGTGAGTTTTCCCAAAAATAATGCACAGGTTTACCTCGTATTTTGATATTGAATTAAATAGAATTACTATCAAAAACTTTCATAAAACTAATCTAACATCATTGAACTACTGCAATATGTATATACTTTTATAATTACTTCATTAATAATTATTTTATAAGACTCGAAACATCACCCGTAAAATGCAATATATTCTAGTGCAAATCTATCTACGCGCCGATCAGTACGGCAGCGGCGCAATTTTGTAAAAGGGCTCTTAAATAAACTTAAGTGTTTTTTGCGCTGGTCCAATAAAAAATAATTGAATTGTTTTTTTAAGTTTATTTCATGGGCTTTCAAATGGCACCAATATCGGTGGGGGTAAATGCGTGTGTTAGGGGTTATAATAACGCTTGAAAGTTATTTTCGAGGGGATGAGATTCTTTTGGCGCCGACTTTATATATGAATACTGACTCTTAAGTGCAGACCATACCAGGAGCAAAACAAACTGTCTAAGTGCTGCTGGACGAAACGGGTATTTATTTAGTAGAATATATAGTAGTATATATAGTATTGTTTTAATACGAGAGTAGGAGTCGGAAGTTTACCTGTCCAATAAAAATATTAATACCTAAATTAGGTTTTCATAAATTTTATAACACGACTTTATATTTTTTTTCCGTAAGAACCTACAAAGTATAAGAAGACATTAAAAGGGAAGTTGATGAAATCGTTAGTCATTCTATACTTATGGCGCGACGAAGAGAAATAAAGATTCGTTTATATATTTAAATATGTGCCGTTACTTTTATTAAGAATATTCTCGGGAATGTTCTCAAACTTTCCAATTCGGGAATATTTCCGAAATTTATTGGAATTTCTAATATATCACTGTGTACTAAGTGATTCAATTTCTTATAAATTGTGCGATGTCCCAACCCCGTTTCGCTTCTCTGGGTTCGTAGGGTTCGCCCGGCTCCCAAGCTCGATTTTGCTTCCGGTGTGACCTGTGCTTTACAGAATCAATCTGAATATCTAGCTTTTCAGAGCTTGATATCATAATGGTTTGTTCAATTGTCGAACTTAAAGCAAGTTTAAAGTAGACTAAAATGAAATTGTGGTTATATAAATCAATACTTACCAATTCCCATATGCGCCAATGGTAATACATGCATCCATACTTCCATGCATTGTTTTATAAGGGGAACTGACTTGAACTGAATACAGTACATTGCATCTAGCATAAAAATTCGCAATCGGCTCTTCATTTTAAAATACCGACAAATTATAGCATAGAAGTGGGACATACTTTCGATTGCATCAAAATCTGGTGTTCCGTTGAGTTTAAATAGTACATACTCAATGCTACAAAGTAAGCAATCGACGATGTCAATTGATGGCCAAATACGCTTCAATTGTATGACCACATAAAGGAGAATTTGCTCAGATTTTGTCATGGGTGGAGCTGGAGGTGTACACGTTTTACTGAACAGTTCAATTTTCCTTTGTGGGTTCTTCAAATATTGCATTAACCCAGCCATAAATGGCTTACAATCCCATTTTTTAACAGTTTCAACTAATCTATCCATAGCAACTTTTGTATCTTTATTGGAATTTATAATTGCACTTATTTCACTGTCTAAAGTACTACTGATCGTGTTAGAAACACTATCTGGAAAAAATAAATTACATTTTTATACCATTATTTACCTAGAAAATAAATAAACAAAAGTACTTGATAAAGAAGTAAATGTATACCTGGAATCTTCTTTGAAAAGTTTTTGATGGTTTGTTTCCCATATTTCTCTATCATTACACATAAGATACTGTCTTTAGGATGTATACCTTGTTTGCTTTTATCTATGTTACTAACACATTTATGAGGTTCAATATCATCATTGAAGACTTCCAGGTCGTCATAGCACACGGTGTTTCCTTGGACTTGTCGCAGTTCTGTTTTAGAACCAGTAGATAGAGAAGAATCCACCGTAATATTCGGCGGTACTTTCGCAATTTCCTCTGATGATGACAAACGTAAAGTTGAACTACGTAACATTCTTTTACACTCAATATCTGGCTTATCAGCAGACATCCTTTTCTGACGTTTTCTACTTTTCTTTTGCGAATCACTTTTATCATCTTCATTCTTATGACTGGGACTTTGACGTACCAGATTTTCAACAACAATATTACAATCTTTTACGCAGTTTAAGTTTGAATTATCACCAACTTTCGTTCTACTACGTGTGGAAACCAATTTTTGTGGAGACGGCTCTTGCAACTCTATTATAGAATTACTTGATTCCGTCTGTTCCGAATCGATTCGAATACGATTCAAATCTTGGTGGTTGGTTTCAGTTACATTATTTCTGTTGTCTAAACTGTGTTCATATTTTATACCTAAACTAAAATCTGATTTTTCTGTTTCTTTGGAAATCTGCAACATTTCATTTTGGTTTATAAATGAACCTAACTCATTTTCAATCTCTGATTGTTCACTTTCTTTGCTGCACCGCAAGCCTAGGTCTTGGGGTGTAATGAGAATATTTTGTTCCTGTTCCATAACTTGAAATTGTGATGTATTTATTAAACTATCTTCTACTTTATTCAAAAATACTTCATCTTTCACAGGCATTGTTCCATTTGTTTTACTGCCATTAAAAGTAGAAGTAAGCCCAGTTTGGCTTGATTCTAGAGCGTTTTGTTGAGATTGGACTGTATCATTGTAATTTGGTGAATTTGTTATTAGTATGTCTTCAAGAATAATTATTCGTTTCGAGTTTTGATTTTTTAAGTTGTGGTCATCTTTTAGATTGTTTTCAGTGCATACCTGATCAAATTTTATTGCACTAGGCATTGTTAATTCATTTTCTGAACTGATTTTCATTTGAGGTACTTTAAGGACTATACTACTATCTTTTTCCTTAATACTTTGTTTACCTATTCCAATACAATTTATCTTTTTAATATTTCTAGCTTTTTCTTGCGATTTCAAGTCCGAAATAATTTTAACAGCTTTTTCGTAAGCAATTTTATTCTTTAATGCTGCAGCTGCTTTGTCCATCATCCCAGAAAGAATTTTTTGCTTATTCTTTCGTAACTTTCGTGTTGGAGTAGGATTGGCTTTAATTTTATTTTTTGGTAAAAGTTTTTGTCGTAGCCGGTCTAGTTTGGTTAGTTTTCGATGTCTGAAAGTTTTACTTATAGAAGAATTAGTATTGTTCATTTCACACATACTTTTTTCCTGATATTCTGTTTCTTGAATAGCCTCTATTGATTCCGTTAAATCGTTTTGAATAGGTAATAACGGTTCTTCAAATTCTAATCGTTTTATGCCCTTTCTAATATCACATTTATCTATCAATTGACTTTCTTCCTCACAAATTGCATTATTTATATTTTCCATACATAACGACTGTGAACTTTCTAATTCAGAAACATCATTATGATTTAGCTTGCTAGGAATTACTATAAGATCGTCATCACTGAGATCAAACTCTATCTCATTATCTGTTTTACATATCTTTGGTTGCTGCTGAGTCAATAAATGCTTAATATTCAACATCTCTTTTATAGTTACAATTTCATTTGCAAGTTTAACAATATCAGCCCTCAAACTTATATTCTCTTCTTTGACTGCAAGGGCATCTTTGCATACGAAGTTTAAATTTTGCACACACTGGCTTGTCTCTTTAGAAACAAAATTAGATGATGATGAAGAATGATTCGCTTTAGACGGCGTGGTGGGTATAGGAGTAATCAAGTTATGTGTGAATCTCATTTTGCTTAAAATCATTTCAATTTCCCCATCTCTACTATCATTCTTATTAATATTACTGCTGTTGTTCAACTCTAAGCATGCCTTTTCGCAAAATTGTTTAAGTGGTGCTGGTGGAGTAGTTTCATAAGTAATATTTGTGATGGCACTGTTACTTGTAAATTTACCAAAATTCCTATCAACATCGTTCTCTTGCACTTCAGGAGTTTCTTCTATCAAATCAGTAATGGTTATTGCGTTTGTTTCATAAGCTATAGAGCTCTCCGCAGGTTGCTCGACAGTAATAGGGCTTGTTGCTGTATGAATAAATTTCAAAAAGGGAATTGGACTTGTAGCAACATGAACCACATTACTTTTAATTTTGTCTGTATTGTCTGTGTTAATAGGACTATGTTCCATAATATAATCGGGACTGTGAAAAAATTTATCACTATCTGAATAAGCAAGAGAGGAACCTCTACCTGTATCAGCACTTGCATGACCATTGCTGAAATCTGAATCCAAATCGTTATCATGCTTGGGTGTAACTGATTCTGCAAACATAAAAATATCAATTAATTTTACTGCATCTATATATGGAAATAAAAAAAATTTGAACACCATACTCACCAACTTTTGTTGAATATGTTTTTATGGATGCTTGCATAGACAAAGTATTGAACTGTAAAAAACAAATGCATTGTATTAAGACTGGACCTTCGGAAAATGTTGCAGTGATAGAAATTTTTTTGGTCATGATTGCCCAAACAACAATAGATTTTTCCAAACTTTAATGTTAACCCAAAATAATGCTAAATGTGACGTCGTTGTGGTGTGGTTGATTATGGAATGGATAACGCGGCTTTTATGTGGCATGAAATTATGATTGCCTAAGTCTAAGTTGCTGTATGTCTGTCATAAGAATCCACAAACTTTTGAACCAATAAAACTATTGATTGTTTTTACAATCAAGCTGTTGACTATGAAAGGAACAAAAACTATACCTCTTCTTTATATGTTTCTTCGGTTGCTATTGGAGATTCCAAATTACAATGAGTATCTATTTCATCATCACTGTCTCCACCTCCCAACATTGAGTCATTGTCATCACTTTCATATTTACTATCATATTTTTGGAGTATGCCTTTGTAGCGTTTATTAAGCTTCTCTGTGAAAAAAATCGACAGTTATTATCGACATCATCTTGAATCATCATTTAAATTTAAGTCAATGTTCATCCGATTTGTTACGCGATCCCGGTTTCTCTGGATTTTATTTTTAATAATAATATCCTTAACGCTTCCATAATTTGTTAGTTAAAACATAACTTGAGGTAAATATGCATCCGATTATGTTAACTTATAATTAGAGATCGGATAATCGGATGCATATTTACCCAAAGTTAAGATATAGAAAACATTTTTTATTGAAAAAATCGCGATTCCAGGAAATTCATATTTAAGTGTATATCCGTGAGATTGTGAAAATATTGTGTAAGATGTCCTTAATGAACAAAGAAATGTATATAACCCTGAATTTGGCAGAATTGTCCAGGCATACAACATCCAGCCTCTACAAAAATAGAATGGAAGAAATTATATTCATTTATGTTTTCTTAATAACCACACCACTATTTCTCTTACACCTTACATACACACATAGTTGAATGGGAAATTTAAATTTAAGTCGATGTTCATCCGATTTGTTACGCGATCCCGGTTTCTCTGGATTTTATTTTTATTAAAAATATCCTTATCGCTTCCATAATTTGTTAGTTAAAACATCATCATCATCATCAGCCTATTAATGTCCCCACTGCTGGGGCACAGGCCTTCCCTATGGATGGAATACAGAGATTGGGCCATGACCCACCACGCGGGCCCAGTGCGGATTGGTGGGTGCTAACGACTGCAAATGCAGCCGGGACCAACGGCTTAACGTGCCTTCTGAAGCACGGAGGAGCTCGAGATAGTAAATTTTTGGTCACCCATCCAATGACCGACCACTGCGAAAGTTGCTTAACTTCAACGATCGCAGCCGAACGCGCTAGCCACCTGCGCCATCGAGCTCCTTAAAACATAACTTGAGGTAAATATGCATCCGATTATCCGATTTGTACTTATAATATAATTAATATTTGAAGTAACTCACTTTTTCCGAGAATTATATCTTTCATCAATTGTATATCCTTCAAAAGTGCATAATTTTCTTTTTGAAATGTAGAAACTTTCTTATCAAGTTCTTTGACATTGGCTTTTTCAAGTTGATTCTCTATTTTCAAACCTTCGATTACAGTTTCATTTTCTTTAACAAGGGTCTGTAACAGTGCAACAATGACTAAATATAATAGATTTCTAAAAGATTGCTGCGCCGGCGACTTTGTCCCCGTTAACTAATTACACGCAACTCTTTTTTTTTCATAAGAGCCTTTTATAACATCTCAGAAAAGCTTAAAGAAAGACGAATGAACCTATTGTCTTTCTGTATTTATGGCGTGACAAAGGTAAACAGGGATTAATTTTATAAATAGAGATTTATGTAAATGTATATAACACCCTTTATACTCACCCTTTCGTCTGTGAACAGATGGTGGGTATTAATTTTTAGGTTTGTTTGTTTACTGTTAGAAAAAAGGGTGTTATATATTAATCCATTAAAATTAAATACCTTTTCAATATTTATCCCTTTATTCTGATTTCATTGAGTTTTTAATTGGATATCATTGTATTACATTGATGATGTATGTACTTAAATCATGACAATATTTAGTTCTTATGCATCAATAAAGCTTTAATTAGTATCATTCCTTGAAAAATAAAGTCATAAACAAAATAATATATATAATAACAAAATAGTATTTATATCATCATCACCATCAGCCCATCATAGCTATTGATGGAAAAGGAAAATTGGGCCATGCATGACCCACCACGTGGGCGAATAAGTGGGTGTTGGCGACTGTAGTTGCAGCTGGGGCCAATGGCTCAACGTGCCTTCCAAAGCATGGAGAAAATCAAATTACAAATTTTGGGCCACCCATCCCAATATAATTGCAGATCGAACGCGCTCACCACTAAGCGCCATCGAGCTCCACTTTCCTTAAATATTTATTTAATTAGCAGAAAAAATACCCTGATAGATGAAACAATATTTATTATAATTCATGTCACAGGCACATGAGAAAATTAATTTTCATTTTATGTCAATCACAGACTTTGGAAAACCCCATATGAAAGACGTGAGATTAGTCGTAGTCATAGAGAGAATGGATTGAGATCCTTTGCTATCTGTCAGGTAAATTTAACTCAGTTAATCAGTTGCTTGTTCAGTTCAGTGGGAACAGTAACGGACTTCGGGCCTAAGCACTCTGGGCGGCTGCGTCTAGATTACCTTATGGTTCAGTCAGACAGCGGGCTGGGCGGGACGGCAACGCGACGCTGACTCGATGTAACAGTTGTAATGTATCCGTTATTATGAAATACGTCAGTGTCCTATTTGAGGAGTTAAATGACATTAAATAATAAAATATGGAGTACGTAATACAACGTTTAATCGGCGATGACAGACTGACTCAGTAACAAGTTTTATTATGCGTTTACCCACAATACAAATATACTACATCCCTCCACCAATATTACAAAAATAATAGTTTGTTACACTTTATAATTAGGATTCTTTGCCCTGGTCGATCGAACAAGGCGTTCAGGTCGGGGTGCTATGTCTAGAGGCCTAGTAGGGTTACAGGTGGGTGGTGGTTCATCAACGAGTTCTGCCTGCGGCGATGATGGAACACCATCGCCGGTGACTTCCTGTTCTTCTCCAGGCAAGGAGCAAAAAGAATTATCTACGGCATCATCGTTCTCTAATAAAACTCCTTCCCCCACATTTTCTGTCGGCGAATAGGAATAGTCCCCATAGTTACTAACATCCTCAAAATCCACAGCATCCGTATTACCTTTATATGGCAATAATTGATCAACATGTTTTATCACAATGTTATTATTAATTTTTAATCTTACGGAATATATTTGAGTACCCATTCTTTCTTTAATAATTCCAAGTTTCCATTCATGTTTATTCACATTGTTTCACTAATACTATTTCTCCTTGTGAAAATGTTTTATTACGATGACCTCCATATAACTTACGCTGTGAGATCTGTTTTTCTAGTACATTAGAATGTGCTACCGATGGTAACGACATCTCACTTTCCAAATTGTCCATTGATTCGGTGACCCTCAACAGATCGAGACGACATCGTAATGGGCGGCCGAGTAATAATTGAGCTGGAGAAAAACCGGTAGTACAATGAGCAGAATTCCTATAATCAAACAAAAATTTGTTCATTTCCTGTATTATTGATTTTTGTGATCGATCGTGTGACATAATGATTTTTAAGCCTTTTTTTTACAGTTTTTACACAGTTTTCTGCTTGTCCATTCGATGCCGGGTGATACGGTGCAATCGTGATGTGTTTAATGCCATTTAGAAAACAAAATTATTTAAACTTTTGTGAGCAAAAATTAGTAGCATTATCTGAAACTAACGTACGAATTAATCCAAACCTACTGAATATCTCTGACAACTTTTCTATAATTGCATCACTGTTTGTATTAGACATGTAAAAACATTCAACCCATTTAGAATAAGCATCTATTGCGATAAAAAAGTTTTTGTTATTGAGGTAAAACATATCAATATGAACTCGGTCCCATGGACGTTTTGGAAACTGCCATGGCGCCAGAGGGGCACGCGGCGGCGCGTCGCGGATAGAGTTGCACAATTTACAAGGCCCTATTGTTTCTTCTATCTGTTTGTCAATGTGGGGCCACCACATGCGCTGAATAGCGTTGCTTTTTGTATTTGTTACTCCAAAATGTGAGCGATGTAATTCATTTAATATTGTTTTTCTCGAAACTCCTGGTATAATTATTTTATGACCACGTAAGATACACCCCTTTTCATATGACAAATCTAAACGGCATAAAAAATACGGTCATAAACTAGAATTTGTTATATTTCTAGGCCAACCATTTCTGATAAATTCGATTACTCTCTGTAAAACTGGATCTCGTGATGGCGCTTCCTGAATATTCTTTACTGTTATAGGCGTTATATCATAGTCCGAAATAAAATTTATATAAAAGTTTTTATCGATATCGGTATGCTCTAGAATTTCTAAATCTTTGCAGTCTTTTATTGACCGTAATAAAAAATCTGCCACATTAGATTCACTCTTTACGTATTCGATGTTAAAATTATATCTGACAAAAATAAAGCATATCTTTGTAATCGATTTGCTGCCAACTCAGGGACACTTTTCTTGCAGCCAAAAATTGACAGTAGTGGTTTGTGGTCTGTGCACAATATGAAAGGAATCTCTCGACCGTAGAAATAATGGTGAATTTTTTTTATTGCGAATATAATAGCGGTCGCTTCCTTCTGAATTTGAGCGTTATTTCGTTCTGATTTGGTAAGCGAACGAGACGCATACGCTACTACTCGCTCGCGCCCGTCGGGTTGGCGTTGCGCGAGCACCGCGCCCAAGCCCGCTGGGCCCGCGTCCGCTGTCACTATAGTCGGTAACGCAGGATCATAATGCGCTAAACACTGTTCACTACTCAATTCTTTTTTGATGCGGTTGAATGCATATTTTTGCTTGTCGCCCCACTCCCATTTTTGGCCTTTCTTTAAGTGAATATAATGGTCCCAATATACTTGACGTGACGTACCCAGGAATGATTTCAATTCCTTTGTATTTTTCGGAAAATCACAATTTATAATTGCATTTATTTTACTTTGTGATTTATGTAGACCCTCTTTGTCAATTACATATCCTAGGTATTCTACTGACTTTTTAAATAATTCGCATTTATTTTCTTTCAATCTAAGCCCAGCGTCTTGTAATCTTGATAAAACCTGCTCTAATCTATCCATATGAATTTTTTTTGTAGGGCCCGTTATACAAATATCGTCTAAAAATATGCAAACTACCTCTATATCACCTAGTAATTGCTCTAATACTTTTTGAAATATAGAAGGAGCGTTAGAGAGACCGAATACTAATCGAGTATAACAAAACAAACCCTTATGTGTGTTGATACAAGTCAATTTTCTAGAACTATCAAGCTCTAGTTGATTGTAAGCTCTAGAAAGATCTAACTTTGAAAATTCCACCCCACCATGAAGTTTCGCAAACAAATCATCAATCCGCGGCAAGGGGTAACTGTCAGAATATAGCACTTTATTAAGTGTAACTGAATAATCACCACAGATTCTAATATCCCCGTCAGATCTCAAAACCGGCACTATAGGGGTTGCAACATCCGAGTGATCCACCTTTTCTAAAATACCTAAATCTAGTAACCTTTGCAATTCCAATTCCACTTTTTCTTTCAGTGCTAACGAGACCGTACGAGGCTTAAAAAATTTCAATTGCGGGTCCGGCCGGACTTTCAATGTAATTTTATACTTATTAAATGTGCCCAATTCATCTGTAAACAGTTTAGCAAATTTAATTTTTAATCGTTGTGCCAAATCATTATCATTATATGGTCGTAAGGTTGTTACAATTGACCGTGCGTAATTCTAGATTGAACTCGCATATAAAATTTCTACCTAATAAAATTGGTTTTGCAATATCCGTATCAATAATAAAAAATCTAATGTGCTTGAGAATATTCTCATATTGTACGGGAATTATAATGTATCCGAGTGGAGAAATCTTACTACCATTATAACAATTTAATACTACACGAGACGCATGCATAGGATCTTTAAAATATGTATGATAGAACCTAATTGGCAATACGGAGACGGCGCTTCCGCTATCTATCTCACATAACACCGGCCGGCCGCCTATTGACACAACGTGCTGCATAGGGTCACCGTTTTTACATTTAATATTGAATAATTCATGTTTACCTTCTGATATGTCGTTATCATTCATAAAGTAATTATTTCCCTTTTTGGAACTGCACATGCGTTTTAAATGGCCTTGTTGATTACACTTTTGACAATTATAATTAATAAAACGACACTCGGCTTTTGTATGATTACGATAGCCACACACTGCACAAAACTTATTCTGTTTAGCTTGAGATATTTTCATAACGCCGCTGGTAGGGCCGCGCGCTGCGGCACGTATCTCGAACACTGGCTGCGTTGACGTCGACTGTTCCATACCACTTTGGCTCGCAACTTGCAAAGCCATCCGCGCACAACGTACGCTTTGAGCCAACTCTAATACCTTATGGAAAGTCAAAGTCTCGATGCTTTCCGCAAATAGCTTCTCCTTTTCTTTAGTATTTTCTAACCCAAGAACAAATCGATCTCTTAATGCAGATAGTTCAGATTTGAACCCGCAAAACTGAGCTAAATTCCTCACTCGCGCTGCCCATTCAGATAAATCCTCGCCTGGCCTTTGTTCTGCCTTATAAAATTTGTATCTCTCTGCGAAGGTACTTTTCTTGGATAAGAAATGGCTGTCCAATTTTTGTATCAAGGTCTGAAACTCCAAGCTTTCCAATGAAGACGGAAATACCAAATCATTAACGACGCGGTAGGTATCTTCCACCAAGGTAGTTAGAAGCAAAGCTCTTCTTTGTACTCCTGCTTTGTCGGTGTCGTTATCAATAGCGTTCGCCGTACAAAACTGTGTAAATCTGCTTTTAAATATGCTCCACTCTTGAACCCTGTGGTCGAATGTGAGGCTGCCACCGAACATTGAACTTCCATTACCTAACATTATTATTTTGCTAACAATTTATTCACTGTTAATTTCTGAACACGCGTGAAGTACTTTTCGTCGCCAATATGTCCTATTTGAGGAGTTAAAGGACATTAAATAATAAAATATGGAGTACGTAATACAACGTTTAATCGGCGATGACAGACTGACTCAGTAACAAGTTTTATTATGCGTTTACCCACAATACAAATATACTATAGTCAGACAGCGCGACATGCCGGATAAAATCACATTTAAAATTGATATTGAAAATAAATGTAATCAATTTTTTTTTAATCACACTATTACGCTTGTTCCCTTTCTGTTTTTTAGAATTTCTTTTTATCTTTAATTTTTGGCCAATAAAGTCAATAGTATATCATCCTCGCCATCTGGTTTTGGTTGTGTGTTGTATCATAGTTACACGTTATTATTAATGATAATCATCAATATGTTATCTTGTAATTATCATTAATAATTTAATTATCAACATAATTATCCTTAATTATTATCCATTTCATCCCTGGTTGAGGCCCCGCCCGCCCCGCTCGCTGTCTGACTGAACCTTAACAAGTATGATTGAATAGCTGTGTGGACGCTCAACGACCGTTTTCAAGGCCAATGGGGGCGGGATAGTGTCAGGGTTTTACTGATTAGAGTCCTTCTCATTTTACAGAGCAGTCTACAGATACCCTCACCGCACTACACTTGGTGGGCGTGGAGTGTGACGTCATGCTTTTTTAACGAATTAGGGTTGCAGTCTTTTTAAATATTGATATACAGTGTTGGTCGTATAATTAGTAACACTACCAATGGACCTTTTGACATTATGTAAGATACTTCACCGCAATCGTTTTTATTTTTAAATTAAACAATAAATAGGACAACAATATGTTCAACAATTTATCATTGATTAGAATAACAATATGGATTCATCCATTGTATAAGTGCAGTTTTAATATTACATTACGGACAAACATAAGGTATGAAAAATAATGCTCAATTAATTAGAAACAACAACAAAAAAAATAGTAATTAGTATTGCTATTTACGAAATAGCTACTGTCCACAGCCTACCAATAGTTAGAACTTATATATTTTTATTTCTTAAATTAAAAAACAACTATAATCTTCTTTTCATTTCTTCTTTCAAGTGTTGAATACCTGTAAAGGTATTCATTTGACATTGTGGGTACCTACAATGCGAAGAGATGGGGCTACCTTGCAGCCTAAGGCTAGAGAAATTTCGACGCGGCCGTCAGGCCCGCGGTAGCATAATGGTCAGTGCATTTGCCCGGATTGCGAAGGGTGCGGGTTGGAGTCCCGTCTGCTGCCTGGTATACGTGGATTTTTTTCTAGTAAACTTTTCTTTAGATTTAAACATAACTATAGCACTTTTCATTGGAATTTACCATATTTTTATTTCATCTGAAAATAATGTTATTTCCATTCTCGTACCGAGAATATCCGTTTTTAGCAAATAATAATCTCTTCTCTCGGTGTTGCTTGGTAAGCGGTACCTTTCAAACGATTCTTCCAAACAATTTAGCTTCCACTAATCCTCGGGCTTATCAGTATTGACCTGATGTTTCTCGAGTCATCAGGCGAAAAAACTTCATTTATACTCTGGTTGGAGCCTTTACTTGGGTCTTTTTTAGCAACACGAACAATTAGCGTATCATCTCTCTGGTAGAGGTTTTTTTTGGCCAAGCCTTTCTAAGAAAATTTTGAACAGTTCGATGTGTTTTATAATGATCAAATTGTATTAAAAACTTTCTTAACAGAACAATTTAAATGCTCAGCTATTATTCTGTATGCCCACTTATGATCTATATGTAAACCTAGTTGACGCGTCACAGCTTTTATTTTTGCCCATTTTGAATAAAATAAAGTTCTGACTAAAATTTTAATTACCGCCAAAATAATAGAACAAGCCAAGAAAGAAACATTATTTTAAAATTAAAAAAAAAGAATGAGCCATGGATGCTGTTTTAAAATGTTTCTCATTAGGTGTCCAAGGGGCCAGTAACAGAAAATAAACTCCTACATAATAATTATGTAAGACTCATTTTGTAATATTATGTTTTATATTTTATGCATTTAATAAGTTTTTTATTAGATTGGCTATATTATTGCATGATTATTAATTATTGAATGTGTATACTTTATACAGTTTTTACTAACATTTGTATGTTGAAGTTATACATTATTTATTCATAAGTGTATCTAATTATATGACCACCACTGTATATATCAAAGTCGGATAAATATTTATGCACAATATATCAACCATGCTAAAGCAATATTAGTGATAATATCTATATTTTCAAAATACTTATCTGTAATAAGTAGGGATGCAGACTTGCAATATTGATATATTTATGGACATTTATATTGAAGTCAGATAAATATCAATATCCAATATATTGACCATGTCAACGATCATGTATCACAGTTAATACAATGAGAAAGTACCTTCTCACTGTGAAGGTATTGCTTAATTCATTATCTGTTTCATATTAGATAATATCTCACAGTCAATACAAATCCAAACTCACAAGGCAAACGCACATGAGGCATGTATGAATATAAGCAAATGGGAGAGTTGATGTGCCTCACCTTGAGGCTCTCTCTAATACAAGAAAACTAGATTATTCAGAGCAGAATTCCTAAAAAATTGTTTGCTTAATAGCTCTTGCTACAACAACAGCTGTATGATATTATTTGTATTGAGAGCTATCTTTCATATTTAAAAAAAAATTCAAAGCATATATTTTTACTAAATACCTGTAATTGATGTACATGTGATTGCATTGCACCAACAAGATTTTCTGCCTCAACACATTTAACATGTAGCTGTTGATTACCATTTCGTAGAATATGAGCCTCCTAAAATAAACATAAGAAATTAAAATATGATTAAAGAGTTTCTTATTTAAAGCAGATAAAATACTGATGACAAAATGAACAATTGATGAGAATGCATATAAAGGAGATGTTCTATTTTGTTAATAAAACACTGACACCAATTACAACACAAACGCTGTCAACCATAATTGTGATGTCACAAAATTTGTAAACTAAACGTCATTGTGGATTCTTCCACTGGACTAAAATATATCCTCAAAACTTTAATATCTAATAGAAAAGTTTCCGTTTATTGGTTTTGTTGATGAAGTTAATGCTGGACACCGGATTTATGAAAGCAGAAACAACAAAACTATTTGAATTAGTAGGTACATTCATAACATTAAAAAAATTTTTTTTACACTTTAAATATTAATCAATGAGTTTTTACATCAAATTGATCTTTGCTAAAAAAAATGACTTTCAGTCATTAAAGTTACAGGTTTTAGCAAGGTTTAAACATGTGTTCATGTGTAGATATGTTTATTTCTTTAGGCAATTTAAACCACAACTTTTCTGGAGTCTTTAATGATGTGTTTCTTTAATCTTGTAAAATACAATCATGACAATTATGATATTTTTCATGTAATCTATTAGAAATCATAATTTTATAATATAAATTCAGATATAATTTTTATTTTTTAAGCATGTAACTGCTTGATGTTTAAATTTAAAGTAAATATAACTAGAAAAAATTCCAAGCAGACCAGGCAGCAGACGGGACTCAAAACCGCAGCCTTCGGTATCCTGGTGCATGCACTGACCGATTACGCTCAAAATTCTTCTAGCCAACGCTGAAAGCTGCAACGCAGCGCCATCTCTTCAGATTGTAGGTAATCCACAATGTCAAATGAATACTTTTCCAAGTATTAAACATTTGAAAGAAGAAATTGCAATTATAGTTATAATTTTTATTTTTCAAACAAATAACTGCTTGATGTTAAAATCTAAAGAAAATATAACTAGAATAAATAAATTCAGATAGTTTATTCCCTACATGCTTAAGAATGTTTGTTTACAAATGTTTTGACGGCCAACAGTGTTTTTGTATGTTCATGAAAAATCTATTTTAAAATTAAAGTTTTGTAGCATTCTAGGCCAAAAAAAATACAAAACTTTTTTTTTCAGTCTAATAGAACAATTATTAACATTTAAAACATTTCCCAAAAGTTTCAACTTAATAGCCTATTGTAAATTTTACTTACATTGTCTAACTTATTACATTTATCTGTGATATTCTGAAAATCTATGCAGGCTTTTTTGCATTCTTCTTTTGATGTATATAGGGCTTTTTCAAGTTGATCAACTTCCTCTTTCTTTTCATAGTATTTCTTAATAAGAGAGCTAGAAATACATAAAATAGATTAATTTATTAAAATCAAATTGTATTTACTTTTTACTAATGTTCAAGCTATAATAAAGATATAAACTTACTCAGTTGCAACAATTTTTTTCTTTGCAACACATATGGCTGTGCGATATTTATCTTTTTTTTCTGGTACCTGAAAAAGAACTGTTGTAAGTAGGTATATGAAATAGCTCCTATAAATTACAAACAGTAAAATTAAAGTCACATGTTTTTTACCAATATTTTTATCATTTTAATTCAATCATCCAAATTATAATAGTACTTATGATTTTATTTATTTTTTAAGCATTTAACTGCTAGATGTTTAAATCTAAAGAAAAGTTTACTAGAAAAAAATCCACGCGGACCAGGCAGTGGACGGGACGGAATAGTACTTAAGTACAACAGGCTATATGCTATGCTACTTAGCTAATTATTATAGGTACCTACAATATAGGTAGTTTGAATTATCAAATTCTACATTAGGTTCATATGACAATACTGATATGATTTTATAGATGTGAAAGCAAAATACTGACAGGTGGAGTTTTGTTTTTTAATATTATGAAGGAAGGATGTTTATTTTAGTTCATTAAAAAAAAGGATATTATTGTTATTAATAAATATTAATACAAAAATCTCTAAATAATGAGAGTTACAGACTTTTCAATATAGGTAGTAGTTATATATACTAATGTTTATATTTATCTCATGAAGTAACTTTGTTGCTCTACCAACTCTTCAAGGTATATGGTATCATATTGAGTATCTATAAGCATACCAAAGGTTGTTATCTTATTGTCAAATTATTACTAAGAAAACAATTGTATAATTAATAATATTCATTTGGCGTATGTCGGAATTGGTTTTGAAGATGTGGATGAAAATGTAGTTATTGAATAAGGTTTCGCTTTGTAAGTCTATTAATATTCTTGTATATAATATTGTATGTATGTATGTAAAAGTTGCAAGCATAAAGCAATAAATATTTTGCTCTACATCTTTGGTCGGAATATACCAAAAGATCCAAAATATAAGTTTTATAAGATGAAAATCCCAATTAAAATACAGTCGAATATTCCTAATGACTGTAAAGGTGATAAATCATTTAAATGATTATTGAATTTAGAAAAACATGAAAATAGTCCATAACCTTAAACTTACTTTAACTGTAGATACTTGATTGAAGAAATCGATGTTAAAATCCAAAAGTGACTCTTCTAGCTGGAGAGACATTGCATTAAGTATTAACACATTACACTTTCCAAACAAATATTTTTACAAGAAATGTGGGAAAATATCGCCGGCACGCAAATTGACCATCATTTTTATTGACCACAGATTAAAGAGAACCACAGAAGAGAACTGCACAGATGACAGATAACTGTAATATCACCACTGGTGTCGATTCTAGCATGATTCTCTAAATCTAAACTTAAATTTGACAGCAGTATATCCTTGTCATTCTTTAAACAGAATGAAAAGGAGAGACTGATATTAAATTTAGTTTTAAGTTTAGAGAATCACGCCAGAATTGGCACCACTGGCAAAGATTTTGGTATAGATTAAAGTGCTCAGCTCAGCTCAGTGAATTTGGGACCTATGGGATGCTTTCCAATTACAGCATTATTGCGCATAATGCTTAACGTTGAGTGTTCGAACTACAGCAACGCTTCGCACAATTGAGCACTCTCAAAAGTGATGCTTTCGTGTGCAGTGTTACCAACCCTTACCAAAATTTTACCCTAAGTATTTTTTAAATTCCCCTAAAATCCCCTAAATATAGAAATTTATATGTACCTACTTATCTTATTACCTAAATTCTTTCGTTACTCATAAATTAAAACGTTACATATTTAGTTACAGAAAATAAATACATTTTTCGAATGGAAAATCAAATGAAAATGAGCTGACAGGCTGTTAAATCTTTTTTAGCTATTTTGATTGGTGATAGGCAAATAGTCCATACAGCCTTAGGAAACAACCTACCACACAGTGAGTTCAGTCGTTTCATATCGTGGTGCGTTCCATTCTACGCACAAAATTGAAAGAAAACACACGCTTTGTTTTTCGATTTAATTGCAAGTTTTGTTAAAAGCCCCTAAAAGAACCCCCAAAAAATTCCAGCCCCTAAAAAAGTCCGTTTTAACCCTTCTAGTCCCTAAATCTGGGGCAAAATCCCTAAGTTGGGAACCGTGTCGTGTGATGCGGGCAACGGTACCAACTTAGAGAAAGAAAATTAACAAGTGTTTTTTCTTTAAGTTGGCATTGATCGAAATGTTTTATTTGTAAGTTATCGTTAGTAATATTATTTATTGTTGAAAAATTATTAAAGCTTTCGTTTCATTAAATAGTTTTTTTTTAAATAATGAAAGTTCATTCAAACTGTTAAAAAATAAATATAAGTATGGATGAAGGTACAAACATTGACTTTTTTTTTCAACACTGAACTTAGCGCACTCTGCTGGTGCATTTGAAAACTAATTCACGTTCCAATTAAGCATCAGCATAATTGGGCATTGTGCGGCACTGAGTCACATTATGCTCTGTAATTGGAAAGCAAACATGGCTTGCGTTCTAAATTAGTTCCTTAATGCACGTACTATACAACCATATAACAGTCTGCCTATATCCTAACTTTTTTGACATTTACAGTGTGTAACTAAAGGAAAAATTGCATGTCCATCGATGCTTTTTAGAACAAGTAT